TGAGCTGTGGAGATTCTACATTACATTCGGGACTATCGAGTAGTCTACAACAATATGTGATGCCTCATCGTACATTCAAACTGTTATGTCATAACAATAACCGTAGTGCGATTCCTCACTCTACATCTAAAGTAAAAGCTGTGCAAAGTATCTAATATGTATAATATATTAAACTGTATTTAAATTTATTTAAATGTTAATGAGTATAAAAACCATTAGACGGCGTCTTTTAATAAACACTTAATGCTAAATTAAAAAGCTAACCACGTTAATTTTAACTTGACACTCCACGACGCTGTGACTAGACACCTTTGAAACACATTTAACTAATACGATATATGTCTGTAAGGGTGGAAATATGACATGAATAGGCATAGTACTCTACGTTGATATTAGGAGGGAAAATGCAAAAGGAAAATCTCGTGCATGGCCATTAGAGCTTCGCTAGTTGTATTATGTACGTGCCAGCTATTCGGGTGCTCCAAGCCCACGCCTTTAAAAAAGACGATATAAAAATGGACAGTGCGCTTTTATTCCGAACTTCACTAGGTTATGGTAATCTATTTTGTGGTCAGTATTAAATTCATTTTATTTTGACGTCAAATCATGTATGTGATATTAAAAACATGTAAGTGTAATTGGATCATTGGCACTCATTCCGCTTTAGGGTTAAAAGAAATCAGTACTGCAATTAAATATTTATGATTTCGGAAAGTTTTCTTAATTTGCATTACCTTGTTTATAGTAGGTTTAGTTTTGATGTCGCTTTTTTATTTATTTTCGTATGTAGTGATTTTTATTCCGTTACCACTCAATTTTGCTGGTTTCTCCATTATTCTGCAGCACATACCGAGTAAATTGTTTCTAACTAGCTGTTCTAAGAACATATATTTGTATATTAATTTAATTATTTTCGCTATTCCTGTTTGTTTGTTTTACTTTATTCCCATTTTTAGGGACAAAATAAGTAAATTTTTTATCATTTTTATTTTTTAATTAAATTTTTTATTTTTGTATTTTTATCAAATAATAGTAGTAATTTTAAAAAACTTAGACATTATGATACCTATATAATATTTCTTAACCATAAATACTTTAGCAAGTTATTCTTTTAATAATTACCAGCGACTCATCCTCGATTCGCTCGAGTTCGTTCCTGGCTTGATTCCCCAAACATACTTTCATACCCACTTTCACCCCTTTAAGGGACTTCCGAGATAAAAAGTATCCTATGTCCTTCCCAAAGCCTCAAACTATCTTCTTACAAAATTTCATCTAAATCAGTTCAGTAGATCCAGAGATTACTCCCTACAACGTCACAAACTCACAAACTTTACCTCTTTATAATATTAGTATATATATGTAGATAACAGTATCTATAATAATTTAATTTTACTTTCTTTCATATCACACCTATAATAACGATATAAATACTCAGTGCCTAAAATAACAAAATCTACATACTATAGGGTTCCGTATAATGAACATTGTTGCGAATAAAAGCTTGATACAACTAAAGCGTCAGTTTTTATTCGATACTATTAAGAAACGAAATACCTCGCTATTTATTAAGAAACGAAATTAAAAGCTTTATACTGAAAGTAGAATATTGTTTATTGTCTGCATCGATTCAATTTAACCCTGTTGTAGCCATTTAAGGCACGAGTGTAGCGTGTGACAGAAGCTTTGAGCATTTTCACTTTAGGGCTTAGATTTTGATAACAATGTTCCTGATCGTGTTTTGTTAACACGTAGCTATGAATGCATGTGGATAGTTACTGCATCAATGTCGTAGAATAATTTTATATTATATTTTTTCTTATTATTTTTATATTATTTATATGTATTTGTAAGCTGACAGACGTTGTCCTGTTCCTATTTAAAAAAATTTCCGCCACCTTTACTTACGTCAATAAAAATAAAGAAAAAACTATCTGTTTTTTGATTTTGGAATTTATTTACTGTAATTTTGTAACTGTTTTAATGTTTTTTCCAAAAAATTTATTCGAAATAAAATAAATACTTAAAAAATTGCCAGTACGATTTAGCCGTTCTCAAGTGATGCACTTTCAGAACATTTCAACTTTATAATATAAAAAAATAAAGAGAAAATATCCAAATATCTTGCAGTTTAAAATATGTTGTTCTGTAGTAATTAAAGTCTGATCAACAGTCAATTCATGTCATAAATGTCAATAGGCGGTTTTGGGTTAAACCCGTAATACCACGCCGGCCTAAATGTCGATTTTCAAAGACAGTTTTGACAACATTACCAGTGTAATGTGCTGGATTCGAATTAACTGTGTTTTAGTGTGAATATTATTTTTTTAGTTTACCTCTATTTTGAGTATAGATAATAGGTAGATTGTAATTTTTAATAATTTAATAATTGTACTTCAATATGAGCTCAAATTACTTTGATAGATTTATAGTACAAAATATTTTTATTTATATTATATACGTTAAGTATTTTATAATATTTCATGTGAGTAATCAAATTATAGTATTTTGATGAAGAATACTTGTGTGCGTCGCCAGATAAAATCAAAAACCACGCGGTCGAGTGTCACTAGGATGTGATGTAACTGACGTCACCGGCTTTAATATTCATATAGAAAATATTAGGCGACAATGAAAGGATGGGGGGTGTCCGGGGGTCACCGATCGACCCCTCACGCCGATGGCCACTCCAACACGCTCTGCTCGCCTTTAATGAACTTTATGTCGCCGGCCGGAATAGGAGCACACTTCTTTGCGCTTGCCGCTATCGTATGTTACTCAGAACAAAGCACAAGTGAAGTCACTTAGAAAGGGAACACTTGGCACTTTTGCTCTTTCTTATTGTTTCGCTTTTTGAGATTTGATGGATCGACGGTGGCGTGTAGTGCGATCGGTCGAGTTAAACCTAGCCTGATGCATAGGTGCAAAATGATTGTGAGAAAATGAAGCCACGATGACCTGCTTCCGTCGTTCTAAGATAATAAATACATGGACAGAATTCAATCCAGGCGTCAGCTAGCTGATACACCGCGAACGCTATTTGATTAGTGTCTCCTAACATTGATGACCAACTCCTACACTCTATAGATTTGCCGGTCGTGTCTGGATGACATGTGACGGTGTAGGATAAAGGAACGGTAATAGTTTCAATTTTCAGTGAAATTGGATTGTTGTTGGCGACGGAATTGAGGCTCTCCGACTATTAACAATGTGATGAGGTGGCAATGAACATTAACAGCTCTTTATTATAACGAGATGTCTATAGTTTAATCATTGACCTGATGAAATTGGCACCTGTGAATGTAATATCAAATTATGGCGGACTGTGTGAGTAGTAATGGTATGTTGTAATTTAGTTTGTATATATTTTATACAAACAATTTTTTTTTTCTTAGACTTTTCTATATCACACGAACTCGCGGCTCCTCTCGCGCTAAAACTACAAAAAAACTCTAAAAAGGTAGGTTTCATACTGTTAACGACACTATTTATTATTTATTATTATACTCATTTTTGTAATATTGATTCTAATAAATTTGAATGTAGCAATGATTATAAATTATACATTTTGACATTAATAAAATATGAGGGTATAATAAAAAAAATAGGACGTGGGTTGTTGATAAAAAGTGAGAGAGGACGCATGTTGTGTGTAAGGAAGTTTAAAAATGTATATTGTAATTATAGGCTGAATTTCACAACAATAAATGATTGTAAGGAACAAGCAGTATCTGTGTATTATTGGAGAACCATAATTTAATAGTCAGAAGTGGTAAGAACATTGAGAAAAATTAAGAGGTATGTACATATGATAATTAATTAGCAGCTACTATTTTCAAATACATGTTTATAATAAAAATAAAAACGTTTACAAAAACTATATGATATTGTTGATTCTATATGTATATCTACTGCATATAAGATTTACACTTATATGAACCAAAAACTTAAAAAAATATATTTATATTTAACTGATTGGTAATTTTCATTTACTCAATCAGATATGTTCAAAGTCGGTGTGCTAATAATATAATATATAAAATAATGAATTGCGTAGGCATTTCTATAGTGTATAGAAAATTGTATGTATAATTACGTGAAATAATAATAATGATAATATTTTAATTTGTGTATATGTATGATATGACGTGATAATTTATTTATTGTTACTATATCAATTAAAGAAAAGAGTATTGTTATTACATTTTAAAAACAACTTGACATTAAGTTTTTAATAGCTTATCTATAAATTTAGTGAATGTACATAATTACAGTGAATTATTATATTCCGTACCTACATATTATAAAATTTATTTTCAAGATGAAGTAACTCCATTTGTGATTTCGAATTATCATCAAGTTAATAATACAATTATTTTTTTTCCTTATTCTCTTCCTTATTTAACATGTCTCTTTACTAACATATATATGTTCAAAATAGTCTCATAAAAAAAAGCCACTTTAATAATAATAATAACTAGATTGCACATGAATATGTCGTCCCCATCGGCATATACTCCACCCCTTAATTATACAAAAACGAAATCTAGGAGCCCTATAAGAAATAAACATAATAATAAAGGCCGACGCACGGTAGATAAAAACACATCTAAGAGAACCGCGAATAATTCAAAAGACGCCGTAGTTGTTCTCGTCCTCGCTATTCAAGATCATTAAGTAGTGATGACCAAAGTTATGTTCCCAAACGTCGTCGTCGTCTGTCGCCATCTCCGGTACGAGGTTATGAGCGATATCGATACAGGATAAGAGATGATTCAATTAGTTCTAGTAGTACGAGTTCACGGAAGAGCTATCGCGGTAATAAGCATTCGAGTACTAGTCGATCATCAGATAGCGAAAGCTCTTGTGTACGTAATTCATCGCGGAAATATAAACGTAAATCCCATAATAGAAGAAAAGAGCACTATAGTAGACATATAAATAATTCGAGAGCTACATCAGTTGAGGATTACGATTTCTTTAAGAAATTTAGCAAACTCATGGATTGTAAACGTAATACATTCGAAGGTGCTCACAATGTAATACCAGAGTTTGATCCAGACGCTAATTCCCAGACAGCTATCGACTGGATACGTAAAGTTAATGAAACTGCTAATATATACGATTGGAATGAGAAACAAATAATTTATTATGCTATACCTAAACTTTGTGGATATGCTCGTAAATGGTATCAAGGAAGGAGCACGTTAAATTTATCATGGCGTCAGTGGCAGAGGAAAATCCTCAAAACTTTTCCTGATGACAGAAATTATGCAGATAGATTATATGAAATGTTGGAACGGAAAAGTAAAAGAGATGAATCTTTAGAAGAATATTATCATGATAAAGCAAGACTAGTTAAAATGTGTGGTGTTAGAGGTAGAAATGCAGTGGATTGTATCATAAACGGTATCTTCGATAATAATATAAGGTTAAATGCACAAGGATCGAGTTTTAAAAGACCATCGCAACTGTTAAAATATTTAAGACGTATATCTAAGAAAACTATCGGTCTTTCTCGGAAAATGATACCAGAATCTAAAAATAACACATTCAGCAATAAGGATTATAGTAGTACACAAAGAACAATTAATATGAATGCAACAACAAGCTATGGATCCCGTAATCGTTTCAGGACAGTCCGGTGCTACAATTGCACTGATGTTGGTCACACGGCACAGAATTGTACGAAACCTATTAAGCGATGTGATAAATGTCGGCGCCTTGGACATGAGGCGCAAGACTGCCAACGGATAGTTAATAGTGGACCTCATCAGATTGGTGATAAAAATTCATCTGAGTCGAATGGGGATACAAAAAGGGTACTACAAATTACAAATGAGGACCAAAGAAACGGCAAGTATTACAAGTCGATTAAATTGAATGGAGCTATCAAAACAGCTTACATTGATTTTGGTAGTCAGTGCACATTAATCAAAGAGGAAGTAGCCTCTGAGAGTAATCTTGTTCTTAATAAAATTAATCTACCTGTTATCAAGGGATTTGCTTTTGGCAGTGTACTTCCATTAGGAAAAGTTATGATAGATATTGAAGTAGATGCTGTAAAAGCGAATGTAGATGCATATGTTGTCACGGATGATTTGTTGAAGACAGATGTACTCATTGGTCAGTCATTGACCGAATTGCCAAGCGTCACTGTATATAAAACCAGTTCTGATTTGATTTTGTATTGTGATAAATCTAACTTAGACCGTATAAATATATATAATTCATTAGATATTGGTTTTAAAGGATTTCAAAGCGTTAAAGTGCATACTGACGGTGAGTATACAGGTCTTTTGTTCATTCCTGGAAACGTATGCACAAAACTTGGTGAAGAATATTGTACATTACAAGGTGTATATCAATTCGAAAAAGGACTCGGAAATATTCTTATGATTAATTTTTCAAATAACATGTTTACTATCTATAAAAGTAAAGTCATAGCTCGTGCCATAAAGTTACCTAATTCAGAATTAGTGCATATGAGAGATGTTAATAATGAGATGCAAGTTAATACTATCAATAATTCTACAATAAATTATTCTGATAAATATTCTATCCCTAAAGATCAGATAACTATGGAGATGTTAAATGTAGGTCCTAAAATATCTATCCAACAGAAACAACAATTATTAGAACTACTGAACAAGTACCGAAACTGTTTTGCACTTAATATGCACGAACTTGGCTTGACAAATATTAGTGAAATGACGATACGTTTAAATGATGAGACTCCAGTTACATATAAGCCATATCGTCTACCATATAGCGAAAGAGCCATAGTGAGACAGATGATTGGTGAATTACTTGACAATAATATTATAAAAGAATCTCATTCCGCGTATGCAAGTCCTATAGTACTTGTTCGTAAGAAAAATAATGAGTACAGGTTATGTGTTGACTACAGAGCGCTTAATAAGAAGACAATTAAGGATAGTTATCCGATGCCCGTAATTGATGATCAGCTTGATCGTTTGAGTGGTAAGACTTACTTTACGAGCTTGGATTTAGCTTCGGGGTATTATCAAATTCCAGTAAGTGAATCGTCTCAACACATTACAGCATTTGTAACGCCGGATGGCCATTATGAGTATACAAGAATGCCATTTGGACTTATTAATGCACCTGCTGTCTTTCAAAATATGATTAATAAGGCTTTAGGAAACAGACGTTTTGAACTCGCTATTCCATATTTAGATGATTTACTTTCAGCAGGTAAAGATTTTGACAATTCTTTTCAAATGTTAGAAGAAATATTAAATCTGTTAACTAACGCAGGATTAACTTTAAACCTTAAGAAATGCTATTTTTCCAATCAGAAATTGACTATCTTGGCTATGAGATCTCTGAATCAGGATTAAGACCTGGAAGTAAAAAAACTCAGGCTGTTTCGGAATTTCTTACACCAACAAATGTCCATCAAATAAGACAGTTTGTTGGCCTTGCAAGCTTCTTCAGGAGGTTCGTCTATAATTTCGCTGCAATTGTTAAGCCACTAACGAAATTGACTAAAGCAGATGTTCATTGGCAGTGGGGTCCTGAGCAAGAACAGGCTTTTCAAGATATCAAACGAAAACTCACTGATAGACCGGTACTAGCTTTATATAATAATTTATTTGAAACTGAAGTACATTGCGATGCAAGCAAAGTTGGTATTGGTGGAGTTTTGCTTCAAAAAGCAAATAGTGATACACCTTTACGACCGGTAGCTTATTTCAGTCGGCAAACCACCCGTGAAGAGGAGTTTTGGCATTCTCATGAATTAGAGACTATGGCTGTTGTCCAGTCTTTGAAGAAATTCAGAGTATATTTGATCGGATTACAATTTAAAGTCGTTACAGACTGTAACGCATTGCGAACAACTTTAACTAAGCGGGATTTGATACCAAAGGTAGCGAGATGGTGGCTCATGTTGCAAGAATATAGTTTTACGATAGAATATAGACCCGGGCACAACATGCAACACGTTGATGCCCTGAGCCGAAATCCTGTTTTACCGCCGAATGATCTGGAAGAATTAGATATCTTGAATATTTCTACTAGCAATTGGCTACATACTGTTCAAATGTCAGATACACGGTTAAAACATATTAAAGCAATATTAAATAAGACTGATGAAGATATAAAAGATATTAAAAATAATTATGTCTTACGTGATGATAAATTATATAGGCGAGTTGGTAATAAATTAAAATGGGTAGTACCTCATGGTGCTCGTTGGCGTATATGCCAACTAAATCACGATGAGGCAGGGCATTTTTCAGTAGAGAAAACTTTAGAAAAAATTCAGTCTGATTACTGGTTCCCGAAGATGAAACGTTTTATAAGGAAATATGTTACTGCCTGTATAAATTGCGCATATAATAAAGAATTTAGTGGTAAAAAGACGGGATATCTTCATCCGATACCTAAAATTAACTCAATATTCCATACAATTCATATGGATCACCTTGGTCCGTTTGTTAAGAGCAAACGTGGCAATACATATATTTTAGGCATAATTGATGGCTTCAGCAAATTCATACTTATTAGAGCTGTTAAAAATACAAAGTCTAAAACCACAATTAAAGTTTTAGATGAAATATTTGCCACTTTTGGTTACCCTAAAATTATTATCTCTGATCAGGGTACATCATTTACATCGAACGAATTTAAAAATTTTGTTACTTTACTTGGTATTAAACATGTTTGTAATGCCGTTGCTACTCCATGTGCGAATGGTCAAATAGAGCGATACAATAGAACTATTTTGAGCGCTCTTTCAGCAATGAACCACGGACTGGATGAGAAGGATTGGGATTCGAATATATCTAAACTCCAATGGAGCTTAAACAATACTTTAAATAAAAGTACTGATAAATCTCCATCTGAAATTGTTTTTGGACATAGAACTAGTGGACAATCTGAAAATATTTTAAAAGGAGCTATTTTAGATATAACAGATGACAACGTAACGGAAAATGAAAGAATAGAAATGAGACAGACAGTTCAGGATACAATAGCTGAGAAGCAGAAAAGAATGAAAGAATCTTATGACAAAACAAGGGCTCCAACAAGGATATTTAAAGATGGTGATTTAGTTATGATACCTAACCACAATCCTGACAAAGGAAAAAGTAAGAAATTGGCACCAACATTTCGCGGACCATTTAAAATCACTGCTGTTTTAGATAAAGATAGATATGAAGTCTCTAGTATTGAAGGGCATAGTCGTCGAAAATATAAAAATATTTATCCTGCTGACCAGATAAAACCATGGGTTAGCTTTCAATTGTCTCCACAGGGGAGTGAAAAAAGTAGTAGTAGCGGTGATGAAGGTGGTGATATCTGTGATATGAATTAATCATTTTTATTAAATATATAAATAATGCATTATAAATGACATCCCTGTAATTTCCTATCCCCACCATTTCAGGTTAGAAGGTACGGTCAGTTCCTACGGAGGGACTACCTATTTAAAGGAAAGATGCTTACGGAAGCATGTGACACAGTATTACAATAAGAGATGGAGAGCAGACCGTGACCCTCGGGTGGCAAACGGCAGCTTATCGGACAATCATTAAACAATCAGACCGTGTCCCGCGGGTGGCAAACGGTTATTTCACTATTAAGGCAGCCCGAAGAGGAGCATATTATTGTTATTTGGAAAAACTAAGTATATGAATTTGTTAATAGTTTAGCCCGTGTCCTTCGGTTGGCATACGGTATTATATGATTGTGATATTACATAGATGCATAAAATTTTCTTTATAAAAATGAAAATGATGAAGTATATATATATTTTTTTTAAGTTGACTATTACAGTTATATTGTTCTAAGTTATCTATATGATTAATTGTATTGAAAGTAATTAGCTAAAAACTATGAAAAGTGTAATTTGTATTGTAATGGTTAAAATTGCTTAAAAATATGAAATGAACGATGGAGTATGAGGCCATACTCGGTATAGGACGGCCGAGCTGTGTTAGTGATGAGGACATCCCTTCTGCAGGACGGCCGTCTGTTAACGACACTATTTATTATTTATTATTATACTCATTTTTTTAATATTGATTCTAATAAATTTGAATGTAGCAATGATTATAAATTATACATTTTGACATTAATAAAATATGAGGGTATAATGGAAAAAATAGGAGGTGGGTTGTTGATAAAAAGTGATAGAGGACGCAGGTTGTGTGTAAGGAAGTTTAAAAATGTATATTGTAATTATAGGCTGAATTTCACAACAATAAATGATTGTAAGGAACATGCAGTATCTGTGTATTATTGGAGAACCATAATTTAATAATACAAACTTACATGCTCTATTTTTAGGGGGTCTTTATGGGATGAATTTTGAAAAATGATAAAACACGTATTCATTTAATTGTATTGAAGAGTATTAATACCAAGTTTCAAGTAATTCTGATCAAAAATATTTTTGGTTTGTATTATAACTTTTTTTCCCGTGGGAATGAGATAATCTCTCGCGGTAAAAAGTAGCCTATGTCACTCTCCGGCCTTTCAACTGTCTCCACAGAAAAAAAATCTTGCCAATCAGTAATTCCGTTTCCACGTGAAAGAAGGACAAACAAACACACATTCAGATTTATAATATTAGTATGGAAGTATGGATATGGACACGTAGGTATCTTTGAAATATTTTTAGTATTTCTGTTTATTTTTTTATAGATGAAAATCATTTGATTAAAATACATAGGTATACACATGTAGGTATTGTATATATTCATTTATTGTAAACTGTATATCCGTACAATTTTAGCGGAACTTTTTATTAGATATATGAAGTATTTAATCTCAAGGGTAACAAAATATTTAAAAAAAGAACAATATTGTCATAATAGCATGTCGTGTGCCGATCCTGAGTATTTTAATAAAAATGTTTCCTCGCATCCACCTTGTTAGCAGTTTTAACGTACGTCAAACAAAAATTTGTAAACTGGAATTATTATAGCGGATACGGTAATTTATAAAGTTAAAGAGTTGTTTTATTAAACTTCCGTTTAGTGCTCGGTTGTAGTACGGTTAAAAAAAAATTAACTCGATTGTAAAACGATTTTAAGTTATGTTTATTATTTAGTAAAGGCACAATCATTGTTCCCTATCCCACTTACCGTCCATGGTTTGACACTTGAGGTAGCACAACGCTGCCTCGCGTTTTCACTCAATTCCATATTATGTACCTTCATGTCGAAAATAATAAATATTTGCTTATTCGGACCCATATATTCCTTAAAAGAAAAGAAACCAGAAAGTGGCTATTTTGTACAAACGAATATTAATCACTTTTGCAAGACTTATTATGTACTCGTATATGTGTCTTATATGAAATTTTTGATTTGACATAGACAGTAATAACGCTATTGTTATTTAGATTTGTGATATTTACTAGGGTGTATTTGTTTTTTGTAGTCTGTTATTTTTTGTGTTGGGGAACTGCCTCGGCGGTGTAGTGGCTAGCATGTACGGCGGCACACCAGGAGGTCCTGGGTTCGAGTCCCGCGTTGGGCCAAGTTTAGTTATTGAGTCTTTCTGTATAGTAAGCCTCAGTAACAGCCCGGAGTTTGTTGGCGGTGTTTCGCCCCCGTGACTCGGAGAGCACGTAAAGCCGTCGGTCCTGCGCCTTATCTCTCACCGGTCGTGTCGAGTAGTCGTCCCACCGGAGTATGAGAGTGACAGGAATAGAGAGTGCACCTGTGGCTCACAGTTGACTCGTCTCAATGAGATTGGTCGCCGTGGCCGGAATCGTTCAGGAGAACATCATCATTATCATTTTTTGGGTATTATAACCCCGTATCTTTGCCATTTGTGACCTGATTGTAATGATATTTTAATGAAATCATATGGACATATATTTTTATAACTCGAATGTGTCTACATTTTCAAAGATTTTGATGACAGTATTCCTTTTAAGTTAATAGTTAATTAAGTTAAAATGACAGAACTTAAAATGTAAACTTGTTAAAAGTTTAGTTTTACACGGAAATTTGTTGTCCACTAAAAATTAGGTGACGATGTCGTTCAGTCCACCGTTGAGGTGTTGGGACCTATCCCACGACCTCCAGATATATAGTAAATAGTAGATGAAACTTGCATTAGGAATTCCAATAAGCTATCCATCTCTGATTTTCCTTGCTTAAGATAGGAATTTGACATATTTTGTATGGAGTTTATGTCGAATTTGTTTCTCTAAATTATCCGTGGCCAGACAGGTTGTAGGAATCCACCGCAAGTAGTTAACACAGATTTCACATACAGAATATTTTAAACATTCTTTGAAAAATACCTCGTAATGCAATTTATTACTTATTGTAACTATAAAAACGTATTATCTAAGCGGAACTGATACTATATCGAGTTTACAGACCTTCGTAGCTACAGGTGGTGTAGTCAAATTAGGCCCAGATCTTTAATCCAATAATAGTTTAGTCTTCATAAACAAAGCTCAATGGAGTATAGGCTTTATACAGGTCTAGGCTAATCTGGGTTAGCTTGGATTTAAAGCCGTTAATATTATGCCGTGCTATTATACTAAACCAAGGGATTTGTGGCTTATATAACGGTCCAATTGTTAATGAAACTATTTTTAGTTCATCTAATGCATCAATGAAAATTATTTTGACGATTCTTAAGAATGTCTTGTAAAGCCATGTGTGTCACAATGCTAACTATTGATTAGAGATATTTTATATAGTGAACTACTACAGCTAACTAATACGCTTTCTAGTAACAAATGGATTTGAAGGCAAATAAAAACTTATCTATAGGCACAGATCGTATAATGCTATAGGTATATACGAGTATAATATAATTCTAACTGAGTCGAATCTGTACATTAAATATTTATTTGCAAAATTTTATTAAAATAGTCATTACTATCGATGCAGAGGCCGAATTTATAGTTTTTAGAATTTGTGAATGAATGCACCAAAAGAGAACCAACAGGACAGATTTGAATGAAATTCAGTATGATAATAGCTGGTTATCCGGGTCAACATATAAGATACATTTTATTGCGGGAAAATATCTCGTCTCTGAGAAATCTACTATACTAAACATTAGAACGTAACTAGGGACGAACCCAAGCGGAGCGAGGGTGAGTCGCTAGTTCGTAATAAAGAAATGGTGATTGTTTAAGTACTTTAACTTTACTACCCGAATAGGTATAGTGCGAGATTTGTCCTACTTTTGATAGCTTGTAATTTATATTTTATTACTTCTTAATATGAGTTTATAAAGTTAAGGCAGTAGTTTTATTCTCCCATTTTAAGAAATTACAAAGTTGTATTACAAATAAAAAATATATATTTATTTTACAAATATATTTCATCGCCGTTTTATATTGGTAATTTAACACAACGCAAACGTTATTTAATCATAATATGTAGGTACATAGATATGTAAATCTCTTCGAACCGCTCCAGGCTGAGTTCCCACTTACCGAGCCCATATGGCACCACGAATTTAGGAAAAAAAGATTAAAAAATGACTTATGTTGTGTACAATTTTTTTTATTTGAATAATATTAAACAGTTAGGTACATATATATCACAAAGCTCTGTTTTTTTATATTTTTCATCCAAATTTGTAAGAATAAAAATTAAATTTCACTTACGAGTAAATTGCCACTAAGTGGTCAAAGGTTAGAAGAAGATAAATAATAAGCAATAAGCGTAGCGCTTATATATTTAGCTCATTCAGCATGAAAAACAAAAGAGCCTATTAACATTGCACACCATTTTATTAATAATTAAGTGATTCGCGCAATTATTATATTTTAAATGTTTGATTAAAATCATGGAGATGGACCTGGGCGGTGATATAAAATTTGCCTGAGGGCATCCGGTTGTTCATAACATCGTTCGACATGGTATAATTTCAATTAATATATTATGTGCACATATTTCTTGTAATAATTATTGTCATAATAATGACAAGTAAAATGGCATAATTAAATTGTACCTAATTAAAAATAACGTAATGGTTAATTATATGAAAAGGTTTATAATAATAAAGAAGAAGCTACGTAATATTTTCGATGCAGTTTATGTGGTATGCTAAAACGTCATTTACAGACCACCTCGTACAAACATCTATATGCCTCGAAGCGAGCCGACGTTTCCGAAAATCAGTTATGGTGAGGTCGCAAAATGATGAATCAACAATTTTGACTTGACTGCCTTGTGGGAGGGGGAGGAGGGGAGCAGCGGAGGGGGTGGGGGCAGATCGATCCTACCTATTCCGTGGTAATTAGAATCGCGCCGCTAAATACGATTTTACTGTTCAATTTTCATATTTCGCACTTCTTTTTCTTGGACTGGAAATGATATAACGTTTGTTTTGTTCGCTACTAATTACGTCTGGTGGCTTGATAAAATTGTTAAAAGCGTTTAGAATGTATCCTATAGTAAAAATCACATTATGTAAATGCAAAATATACTTTATTTACCTAATAGGCTTGTTTTTCACTTACTGAGATAATGCTACAATACAATGAGAAGTATACAATTTTCTTAGAGTTGTAATAGACTAAGTTGTATATTGTGAATTACTAGTTCTTTTTTTCTGTTTTAATAATAATTATAATGTCATATTAAAAATATCTTGGATGATGTAAAAAATAATAATTAAGGAAATTTATATTTTATAGAAAACCTTACACCATAAAGACATCGGAAAGGCGTGAAAGTTATAAATGGCCTTGATATAATCATCAAAGAGTTTATACCGCGTGAAGCGGAAACTCCATAGGAGCCTGATAAAAGACACCGACGATAGTATACGTATATAATATAGAGCGATTACGATATATACATAATATACTTCAGTGTATTCCAATCTTCATACTAAAAATAAAGATGTATTTTCATCCTCATTAATTTTGTAAGAAGGTACGAAATCTATCGTGCTATATTATGATTAGATAAACTTTATAATTTTGTTTGTTTGTGTCTCTCTTAGAAAAAAATATATATATATTTAATTTATTAACTTTAAAAATTCTTGCACGCATATAAAGACATGTGTGAGTAGCATAGCATATATTTAGCGACGTTACACGTACATATGTATGTATATAGGCGCAGAGCGGAGAAGTCAGTAATATGAAACATGAGAATAATGTAATAAGAATTCGATTATATTTTATTGTATGACGTCACAATTATGTCATGTCGCGGTCCGTTCGTCCCCTATAAGTAGACGATATTACATAAGTGCAGTCGCGTGCAGATAGCACTAATTTAGTATTTGAATTTGTAAGAGCATGGAGGATGCGGCCAGCCATTTATTTCCAACTATATAATGACTATAATCTGATTTAAAAACGATATTTGAAAATATTATATTGATGACGAGCGTAATAAAATCACATTACTCCACTACACCGACGTTGCATGACATGAATTTCGCATAATTGCAGTATAATTCCGTTTTACGATCATTACTAGATACAATATATTTCTTCCGCGGTTTTATTTGAATTCTATAATCGCGTGTTAATGTAACATTTTGTTATAAAAAATAGGTTATAACGGTTTCATGATTATTTGACGGAACGAGAGAATCAAAGAAGCGGAGTATAAATAATTAATATTAATACTGGGCGACCGTTCACAAAAAAACACAATCTGTCTTATTTTATTTCGACTCCGCGGTACTTGCGACTGTAATAAATTATTTATAATTAGAAACAGAGAGTAAAACGAAATTACTTAGTGATCAAATATAAATTAGCATCAATATAGTATTTTTAAATAAAAAATATTAGTCATGCAACGTATTAGTTAAGTATAAAACGCAATCAATATGGTAATTGACCGGTGAATTTATTATCAGACATGAAGTATTAATTATGATTCTGTGAAATCTATACTTATGTAGTCAAGTTGACATTTAACTAGAAGTGTCCCCGCGAAGCTGTTTGGACAGCAGGTGGCAGCAGACAGTAGAAGGTAGAGTAAAGGAAAAGCAATAGCTGGTAAATCTGAAAGTGCGTGGCAATTTTGCCCGGTAGAGTCGCCGCTACAAAGAGCCATGCGTACAAATCCCGGGCAAGACATTTTCCGTACTACGGCCACCAGTCTCTTTGTACGAGCGCAATCAGCCGCCGGCGTACCCAGCAATTATTCAAAATACATCAGGCAATATTAGATAGGTGGGCTGGCCGATGCGTTTTGCATTGCGAATCAGTCGGACTTTGTGGAACTGCGAGTGCAACTGGGGAGTACTAGTGTTTATACGCCGTCACCGACAGATTGTGGGGCCAGCCTTTTGCTAAATTGTCAGCACACTTGGGGATTGTCGATGGCGGGACCACGGTTAAAACGTTAATGGCCCCCGTTATCACAAAACTACGTTAAGGCAACGTTCGCGTGAGTCGGCAGCCAAATGCAATCGTCGGTTCGACTCCACGCCGATCCATCTACCAGATATCACCAGCGCTGTTATCTTTATGTTATAGTTAATGCTTGTTTTCATGGTGTTTTACTTTTTTACATTTAATTCATACTGTGTTTTTTATTATTATGTATAATAATGTAAAAAATATAATAATGTAATAGCTTATTCAAGTTTAAAAACAATTGA